GTGATGGAGTACTAGACCTTCTGTAAGTTAAATTCTAATAATTCAAGCAAAGATGGAAGCTGAGGCTTGCTTTAAAATAAACATTTAGTGAAATTCAGGGTCCCCTGGCTTTCCTGGGGCTTAGAATTCAGTTGATCTCTGTAAAGTTACAGAACTACAATAATTAAATTAGCTGCGTTCCTTAATGGTCTTTAATTTAAATAATGTTTATACATAGGATATAGCTTTCCTCATTAAAAAGAGAAGCTGCTTTTATTGTCAGCTGAAATTATAAAGTGCTATAATGTTGCAGAATAGTAAATAGAAAAATTACACAACTTAATGGATTTCCTTTATTTTAAGTTAGTGTATAATGAATATTATTTAGAAAGTCTGAAAATAAGAGAGATATTTTATATAAATCAAAAAATAAGGCATTCAACCCAGCTAATGGAGGTTTTGTTTTTTCTGATCACATAAATCATTGTACATGTTATCCCAAAGTATAATGTCAGATTGTATTAACCCTAACATTCATAGCAAAATTTGCCAGAATATTTAGTATTTCACTAATTTCTTTGTGAAATTTACTTACCACATTTAATTATTGCAATCACACATTCCATTCCATGTCAGAGCTTGAAAATTCATTATCAAGTCTTGTCATATAGAGTCCATATTTTTAAATATATAACTTTTTTTTTTGTTTGTCAGTTAATTAGAAGCATTTGAATTAATATAAATTAGCAGAACAATTTAGGTAAAAGCATCTGCTGCATGCATAGGTCTTAATTTGGCAATATTATAATTAAACAGCATCACAGGTACTCTACTTGCATTATATCAGTTTATGACTTTGAACTGATGGATTCCATACAGGTTTTCTTCTCTCCCCCACGTTGGTGCATTTCACTGTAATCCTGTCTATTAATCATCTATGACAGTGCAATTTGAAAGAAGTATTTATTTATAGATTTGATGCTTTTTGTATTGTAGTGGTTAATTTCTGCTTTCTAGACTACGTATAAAAAGCATTTTCAATACGTTACAAAATTAGTGGATTTTTTTCCCTTGTGTGTTCAAAATATTTGCTGTTTCATGTGATATATATATATATATATATCCCCCACGAGACATACATATATACACACACACATATATATATATATATATATATATATAGGTAGATTTTCCTTCTTTTGCCTGTACTAGAGTGTAACGCCAGCAGGGACCATTTACTTTTTCTTTTTTTTTTTTTTTTTTTTTTTTGTGTGTCTTAATTCTTCACTGTGTTGCTTTGGAATTTTTGAAAAATTTTCTGTCGATTAGTTTTGTTTTAGATCTGTATTAGATAAATGTGTCTTTAATAAATCACTGCCATTAACAATGTAGGTGTTGAAATCAAGCAAGGGATATTCTAGGCACTGTTGTTTTCCTAAGAATAGAAAGTCAGTACGTTTTTGTGGTTTCCCCTGACCATTAAGACTGGAGGAAGGTTCTTGGAGAGAATTTCTAGCCAAGCCATATACAGGTAGTCAGATACTACTCCTTTTCTTGCCACTGGAAGGCTCCTGTTTAGACAGAGAGAAAAATAAAATGAAGATTATGCAGATGGTCGTAGCCCTGATAACATGCATCTCACTAAATATTAAGTAGAAAAAAATCAACTGTTCATATACAACTCTGTTCATAATTAGACTACCTGATTGTTTTAATCTTCTAAAGCACAAAGCTACCATTAGGCCTTAGTCTTGCAAACTTGCTCACCTCGTTAGTGCCATTAACGTGGCTAATTGTACTGGACATGGACTGCTTGTGGTTGTAACCTTGAACCGGTAAAGCATTTTCAGGGTCAAAATACCCGCGCATAATACGATTTTTAAAAGGATAAAATACAGTACATGCACAGTTTTGCAGTCCATCAGCTTATTTTGTCATCTGTAATTACTGTGAGATGGGAGTTTTAAAGTATGGGTCAATATATGGTAAACGCTACCTGATCAACCCTTTTTTGGACACTCAATAGAGCTAAAGCGGTTTATCTGTGCATCACAAACACTAAATAATTTATTGAAGCTATTATAACAAAATGTGGTTCTGACTAAAAATTGGTTCTGAAAATGGTGCGCTTTTTTTAAAAAAAAAAAAAATTTTATTGGTGGCCTCTTTATACAGTTGCATCATCCTTACTCAGTTTTACATAGTTCCAAGTAGATCTTGACTAAGTCCATTTACTGTGTGCAAACCTACAGAATCCTTTCCCTAACTTGGAGTTGTTAATTCAGGGAAGAGAAAGGAAAATGTGTATTTTCTACAGGTGAGTAAGCAGGTGTAACACTCAACATGTAGATTTGGATGTGAAGATTACATTTTTTGACACTTTTTCATGAGTAGAGCTTTGTTTTAAGCTATGAAGAACTAATAGGAAAGATTAATATTCAGTATTATCCCAGAGAACCATCAGTCCAGATGCAAGTTCTTCAAAAAGTACTTAAAAGATTATTTTTGCCCTCAATAAATTAACCCAAGTGTTTCTGTTGCTCTAGTCCAGAATCCCTTTATTCTCCAAGTTAGAACCAAAATCTTGCAACTCACAGGACAATGAGGTTAGCTGCCCTTGAATGTTCTTGTAAGAGTTCATTCAGACGGACTTGACGGTAACTCTGATTAAAACAAAACGGGGGAAAAGAAAAAAAAATCAGTTAGGTCAGTGATCCTCACTCAGTTCTGGTGCCTTACGGACTTCTGCACTACACATTGCCCACGAGATTTTCTGCTGTTGCTTAGGCAACATTGAAAGCCAGGTCTGCTCTGTGGGCCAGAGTGATAGAGGTGGCAAAGTATGAGGCTAAGCCGATGCTGCTTGCTTAGTATAGTTATGTGGGGCCAGAGTTGTTCACCACTGTGTAAGATTTCCTGGGGATGGGGATTATTTTTGTACCGACACAGCACCAGAGCTGGCTCAGACACAGTTTTTAAGTATTTCTTTGGCTATGGAGTATAGGAACTGTACAGAGCCTCTTTTGTGCTATTGTTTGATGGTGGTTAATGTATTAATTCATCTGTTTTGTAAGTGTCCAGCTGCCATGCTGGTAGGGCCCAATGTCAGTGTGTGAATGAGCAGCTTGCCAGAAATTCACCTCCTACAGAAGACCAGGAGTCTGGAGTAAGACTTGGCTGCTTTATATATTGTGTATTTGTATGGACTTCTACAAATGGCATAAATGACTGTTACTTTGAGATTCAACCAAGATTACTCTATGGTCAGGCTCAGGCCCTCAAAATTTTTATAATTTAACACAAGTCAGAGGGAACAAGAAACCAGGGCAGGTTTGTGTATGGGGAAATTGCATCATGGGAGATAGATGTATCTTAACTGGTCTTATATATTATTCTCTCTTTCCCTGGAGAAGGTAAAAAGCTGGGGTTTCTCTCCAGACCTTAAATTTTCCTTCTTTACAGAAATTTTGCTGTTCTTTAAAATATGTTATATAGGTAAGAATCCTTACAATTTAGCTAGTTGTTATCTCATGAGAGTCATTCTATAACATCACCCTTTATCTGTGCTGCCAGGTTTCTCTCTCTTGAATTTTAAATGTGTTCTAATGTCCTCCGTAAAATTCCCAGGACTGCCTTACTTCTGAAGATAAGGGGCATGTCTTTCCAGGTGTGTAAGCTAAACTTTTTGTTGCTGAACTTATTTTATAGAGAGATTTGGCATTTTCATATTGCTGACTGCTTTCAACCTGTGGGGTTTTTTTTTCCTGGTTCCTTAGTTGGTGACCTAGACAAGACCAAGCTTAATCATGTATTTTTTTCCTGTTGTATCCTCACTGGATCTGCACACAAGTGTTTATGTCTGGGGTTATATTCCTGTTGTCTTTTATACTGAGATGTTCTAAGGACTCCGACTCCCAAGTGCTGATGATTTATGCCGAGAGTACTTCAAAAGTTTTCTGCCCACAGCTGACTACCATAACTTTATGCTGGTTATCAAATCTGTGAAAAGGGTAATACAGTGAGCAGTCAGTCTGCTTCCCGGCCACTGGAGTCAGTAGTATAGTGTGTTATCTTAAATCACCATTGATTTCAGCTTATGTTAATATGTCAGGCTGTGACCTTTAGCGCCTCTGGGCTCAGACTCACAATCCTTGCTCTGCTGAGGAAGTTAGCAGCACCATAAAGTGGAGATAACTAAACTCTCAGTGCACTCAGGTTAATCCAACAGGAACCATAAATAAAATTGGTAGATTAATTCTCTGTGAGTTAGAGGAGAACTTGTCTCTTAAGGGTGGAAGAGTTAGCAGTATCCTTTCAGCACTGGTGTGATGAAGCCTGGCAGTTCATTACTAAAAAAGGTATGTTCTGACAAAATTAAATGCAGCCCAGGCTCTAATTCACCCCGTGGATCAGCCAACGTCAGCCTTAGAGGGTCTCTGTACTGTGTGAGAACTCCTGGTTGTAGGCAGGTTTAGTCTTCACTCTGCCATTGAGGTAAGAATCGGTGTTGAATCTTGCCTTTGGAAAAATTCCTAGAGCCAGCTGTAGGCTCTGAATTCAGTTCTAAATTTCCCAAAGTGGTGAATGTCTGGAACTGCACTCTAGAAGGTTCAAGCTCTAAAACATCAGAGCCATTTAATAAACCTCTCAGCAGATCTTACTAGCTCAGGCTCAGTGCAGTACTGTGTGGCTTCTGGTTCAGAGGTGGTTTTCATCTGACTGGCTCTGGTACGGGCAGAGCTGCTCATCAGCCTGGAAAATACTGTGTAAACATGCCAAGGTCTTAGAGTGCTGAATAATGCACACCTCTGCAGTGTTTACAATAGAAATCCAATTTGTAAATATCAAATACAGGTTTGTACATATCATGTTTCTAATTCCGTATCTGGTATTTCACATTTTCTTACTAATCACTTCAAACATCTGGAGTGTAAGAAAAGGCACAGATGTAAAGAGGTAGGACCAGGCTTTACCTTCTCCTTGAATGCTTCCAGCTCTGCATCTGTAATTTTCCATGGAGTCTCTCGCTTTAATTTCTCAGCAGTTGTTATATCTTTGCAGCTTTCATGGAGGCGATATGGTTCAATCATCTCTTCAAAGAATTTCCAGCTGAAACAGGAATTACAAAGGAGGCCTTGCTGCAGGGTATGAACTCACTAACTTATTTCAGACACTCTGTATGGCAGGCCCCACTGACTATAATAGTAGCTGAAAAACATGCAAAATCTTTAACTATTCTTTGCTACATTGTGCCCCAAGTTATATCCGTGCCGCTTCAATATGTTGGGGTTATTTGCGGATAATTAAACACTGCATTTGGCCTATTATAGTTGCAGAGAATTTTCTGTATTTTCCTGGTTGTAGCAAAAATAATGAAATTATTTCTACAGTAACTCCAAACTGCAGTAGATTGGTTACTAATGTTAACAATATTGGTTACTAATGTTAACAATAACAATTAACAATGGCTTTCCTCATAAATACTGAGCTTTTATTATTGTTGTTGCATTAGCTGGAGCAATCACCTGACTGATACAGTTTCACTCTTAGAGTTTTAATGAAATAGAGAAACAGATACACATCTCCAGTGGCAAGGGGCTTAAAGAAACGCAGTGTTTGGGTGGGTTTTTTTGTTTTGTTTTGTTTTTGGGTTTGGTTTTTTGTTTTTTTTTTTTGCTATAGGGGGGCTCAGATTTGTGTTCATTTCCCAACTTTTCCACAGATTTCCTCTCTAAATTTCAGTTTGTTTCTGGAAGCTTTTGACTGTCGTCATCTGGAGAACCTTATTGTTCTTCTGTACTTCCCTGCTTGCCCCTTTGTTGAAAGTTTCTATCATACCACAGAGACGTTGGAGAGTTTCTTCTATATTAATGTAAGTGAATTTGTATGAGCACTTCATGCTGACAGGCCTTGCTGTGAAGGGAAGCGGGAAGCTGGGCACAGGTTGGACTTTGCTATATGGCAAAAGTCAAGAGGTGGGTTAAAGGCTGTGACATGGAGCATTTAATGTTGCTGTTGTTAAGTTGCCAGAGAGTTTGTCAACAGCCTTAGTGTCTGTTTCAGTATGTAAAATAGTGATAATCTAATTATTAGGGAAATAAATGGGATGCCTAGCTGGGAGAGAGATACAGTGGTCTGGCAAGTGTCTGGCACAATATTCACTTGTTCTGTTCAGATAGTGCTGATGCAGCAAATGTCTTTGGTTTTTATGTTAATGACAGATACAAATTCTTTTTGATAGCTTTTATTAATGTAAAATCACTGCATAGTACCAGAAAAAAAGAGGAGTGTTCTGCACTGTTCTTTGTAAAAATTAAAAAACATTAACTAAGAGATCAAGAGGGCACTAATATGTGACTTTAGGAATCTAGTAATAAAATCTTTATATTCTTTAATTGCTGAAAATCTCTAATGCACTGTAGAAACACTGGTGAATGTAATGTTGTTTTTACAAAGTTATGTGTGTGTAGAGAAATGGGACACGGAAGGATTAAGAGACTAAACTGAGATTGGATTTGAACTCAGAGGAAAGGCTTTGGGTGGACGAGCCCTTTGACTATGAAACAGGTGTGGACCTATCAAGAGGGGAGTAAGAGACGGGATGGAAGAGAGCATAGCAAGGTCTGAATGTATTCAGAGGATCTTTAAGGCCAAGAACAATATTGTCAATTGAGTTAGGATTCACTTTTTCCCTGAGCAACCTGCTATATACTTTTGTCTACATGAAGCAGAAGCAATAGGTGTTTTCTACAGAAATATGATTTAGAAAGCAAGGGCTTGAAGATTTTTTTTTTTTTTTTTTCAGCTAATACAGCTGGAGGTGGAGCTTCCCGAGCAACTGTTTTACCAACTCCCTAACCTCTGCCTAGGAGCATTAATTCTGTAGGTAAGTTAGTTTTTAAAAACACTGAACCTTCATTATATTTGAGTGGTAGGGTGTCGGAGAACGGCTTGCAGAGAGCAAGGCCATGGGTCTCTGCAGAAGCTGATTGCAGCTATCTGAGGTAAACAAAGGAAAAAAACCCAGGGTACAGTTATGCTAATAAAGGACTGTTATGTTAACAAAGAGAGAAACTGAGGTACATTATGACCTTGTGTATGATAAAGGAATGGCCTTGGGAAAGAAAGCAAGCCAGAAGAAGGAAGATGATGTGACATGCCTGAGATGCCACAAGGGGCTGGGATATTTTAATGTAGCCTTTTACATGTAACCAATAGATTTGTGAGTAGTATGTATGATTATTGTAGAGTGCTTATATAAGGGGTGATTTCTTTCTATAAAGTTGAAGCTTGCTCTATCATTCACATTGAATCGACTGCTTGCTTCCTCCGCCCGTCACAGTAGGGGACTATTATAATATTTTCCTCATGGGAAGTGAGAAGTGTGCTTATGTTTGGCCAGAAGAATATTAAGTTTATGAATTCATGGTAAAACCCAGAAGGCTGAGTTGGCAGAGTTGGTAAGTTTATAAGAGAACTGTGACTGACTCAATAATATGATGAAGGGAATTCTATTGCAATCTAAACAGATATGAAAAGCCATCATAAAATGTCTGTTAAATTTAGTGGCTCAAAACTATGGTATGTAATTAGTCTTTACTAAAATTAAGTCTTATCATTACAACATAGAGAAAAAGACTGCCTATGCTTTTGATCCTTTGAACTGTGATAGTTAAAAGGTTCTTTTCCTGCCTTAGGTGCTTAGAATATGATTGCACTAAAGTGACAATGTTATTCTTTGTGGTGTGTTTTGGGGTTTTTTTAATCCTCAACATAAAAGAAACAGGCTCCTGATAAAGGCCAGCTGCTAAATAATGGATTTTGGTAATGTTTCTTACCTCTCTTTGTTGGGCTTTATATTGATATCACAAATGATATTAATGTCAGCGAATTTTATTCTGAATTTGCTTAGAAGTGAAGCCATCCTGAAAACAAAAGAGAGAACGTTTTATCACTATATTTCTGAGTGCATTGCATCAAAGAGCACTTATAAATGAGTTAAGATATCAAATGCAGTTGTCTCATTATCTTTAACTATATGACAAATTACTTTAAATGCTTTAGTGTTTCAGTTTCCAATTACAGAACTGGATTGATGTGATTGCTGTAGTATAATTCATTTAGCTGATGATCGATGAAAATCACAAAAAATGGAAATTAATAGCAGACAGAGGGAAGGGTGTTTACATTTTTGGGAAAAATGGTGCTTCAGGTATTTGCAAAGACTTGAATTATAAAGGAAATGTATTCAGAATACAGTAGGACAGAATTCTCCAATACTTACAGCAGACTTTTGTTCTATTATTACCAGAATTCTATGCATGGAATATGTACAATACTGGTAGTGTACGTGTTGGTGAAAATTTGATCCAGGATGTTGATGTGCAATACTTAATTTTTTTCATTTATGCATTTATATTGCTTTACTCACATGTTGTCTTTACATATTTTCACAGAGAAAATACTTTGCTTTTCTCTCCCAATTAGCAGGAGGAATAGTTTATAGCTTTGTGTGTTTGTGCTGAGGTTAAAGAGGTTAGTTAGGTCACTTTTGCCTTCAGTTGAAGCATGGTTTTTTTTTTTTTTTTTTTTTTTTTTTTTTTTTTTTGGTATGTAAGCTTTGGAATTTGAAAAGGTCAGAAAGTTCCTAGGAGCAAACCGTGATAGAAATACATATTTGCTTATGACCTGAGAATTTACCTGTTCTTTTTTTATATAAGAGCAACATACTGCTTATATAAATCTTCATGTCCCTTGGGGCAATCCTTGTTTTGAGCACCAGAAAAGCAAACTCTCAACTTCTGTGGAAAGGTTTTAGTATTTGGGGAATTACATGTCCAGATAAATTTAATGTAAATATGAATTTAATGTAAATATAAATTTAATTTCTGAGTTGGAAATAAAGTGAATGAAATAGTCCTTGGATGTTGTTGCATTAGATCTACCTAGGGAATGGAATAGCCACCCGGCCTCTGGATTTGCATCTTTAAAGGCTTCTGTGTGTGGTGGGTAGAATATGCTGTTGAGGAAAGCTAGTGTTTGGGTAGAAATACATACCCATATTGGAGACAAGCTAGGTCATTGTCAACTGTACTGAGTTTGCTGTTCACTCTGGCTTTTGTAGGACAAGCGGTGTATACAGGTGCCAGAACTGCCTCTGTGAGGATCTGTCCTGTTTTGACAAATGCCATTTGATGTCAAAAACTCCTACTTCCTCTCAAGGGAAATTTGGTGACTTGAGTGCTTAGATGCAGGAGCTGACTGCAGTCCTGAACAGCCAAGCCTGGGCATACTCTGCACAGGGAGCAGAGAACACTTCCCTGCAGGTTCTTGAGCAGCTGTAAGGCTTTACCCAATGATAAGACTAGTTTGTACAAACACTTCTGAATCTCTTCTACAGAAGTATGTTATCTTTAGGGTAATCCTTAAAACTGATGGAGCCACAGTCTTAAAGTTTATTAACTTGCTCTTTAACTTCTTTACATTTTACCACGGTTAATCACATTTATGTGAGCTATCTGTCTATGGTATTTGCATATGAGAAGCTTCATGTGCAATTTCACTTACTGTTAACTGGACAATCTAATGTAAATCCCATAAAACTAATTATATTCTCATTACAGAGTGCAGACCGCTGCTCTTAGAGAAGGGAATATGAGCTATTAATGGGGAAAATTGCTGGATGTGAGTTTCCCTTGGTAATCACCATTTACACTGAGCCTTGAGGGCTATGCCATAAGCTCAACACCTTTCTATCAAATACATCGGGTTTTTTTCATACTGCCCACTGTACAACAAACCAGCTCTGCTGAGAAATTCTCAGCTTCCTTCTATAAATGCATTATATTCAGCATCAGTTCAAACTCTTTAAACAGTGAGACCAATATAGTTATATTTACACTAGTTTTTCTTCTTCAATCCTGTTGACTTTTCCTCCAGTGAATATCCTTAATTTGCAATTTTTCCACTTCTTCCTGATAGTTAGAATGTAAGGAATTAGGATCGTTAGACCTGGAAGAACATATAAAATTGCAGGAAGATCAAATGAGTACATTGTGTGGTAAAAATACCATCCTTCACTTCAGCAGTGTTGGACGTAAATTAATCTTTAAAACATTTAAGCCAGACAGAAAATGGACTACGTTATTTTAAAAGAAAACAGTTTTGTGCAAGTTCCCAAGTCTGTCTTTATATTTGGTAACACAGAAATCTCTCTCCCTGGGGTTCTCACTCAAATTCCTTACCGCCATCATCGAACAGCCACCAAATGTCAATTGTTCCTTTGCCTTGCTTCTTTTTAAATTGAGTGCTGGCTTCTAGCAGCTTCTGATTGAATTCACCCACATGCATTGACTGCATTGTGTTAATGGTGCTTCCTGTAATGAGAACGAAAAAAATGTGAAAGGATTTCTGACAAGTGAGGCAACTAGTAGCTTTAGGGAGCCAAGTAGAGAGAAAGCTTCAGGAAAATGAACTGTTTCTGACATAACTTCTATCCTTTAAATCTGAAAAAAAATTACAGCGCAGATGCTGTGGACTTTTAATATACCAGTACACACAGAAACCAAAGCTTATGTAATACTTCATCCCTAGATTATAACATCTTGAAAAGGGTTATCTGACTATCTGTTCTCTGGATCTTTCTAGTTAACCTAAAATTCACTGGGGCCTTAAAAAGCAATTGGGAAATGTCTGATAGATTTTGAGAAGTAAATGGCACCATTTTGCATCATTTACAAGCTCAGCTGCCTGTTGTAAAATAAAGAGCTCCCTGAAAAGAGTGCTAACGGGGTGCAGCAAGAGCACAGGTGAAGCTAAGACTGGAAGGCAGAAAACATAAGCGTATAGAGCAACTTCCCTATGCTTGAGAGGGTCATTGTTAATTGAAAATAAGCTTTCATTCTTGCTGTTTGCTTGGCTGGCTTTAAAAGGTACAGTCTTGCCTATGTACTAACAGTATCTTCTCTCATTCCAAGTTTTGAAGCCTGTGTCTTTATTACTGCTTCTCTTTCAATGATTTCAAAGAGACAGTGTCAGAGCAGTATTTTAAATGGAGCAGACAAGCTTCTTTAGAGCTTTTACTCTGATCTGCTATGTTCTGAAAATGCTTTGCTTGGTTTTTCCTGTATGCCTAGAGTGTGGACAGGATAGTTCTAAAGCAGTTATTTGCTTTCCTCTACAGTTCTAGCATCTATGCTGGAAGATGCAACAACTCTGGGGAGGATGAATGTATACAAAATGGAGAGGCAGGGATGTTTATTAACATCATCTATCTCATATATAGAGCCAAAGTATGTAATATGTATTTCCTTTATGCATTTCTGAACTAAATCGAAAAGGGTAGTTGAAACAGGGGTGCACATTCTTGTGGTGTTCGCTATAAAAATATATTCTACTGAAGCCTGCAAAATGAACTGAAGTCTGTCAAGTAAAGAATAATGACATTTTATGTTTTCAGTCTGTAGATCTTCTCAATACCTGTGGGAGTTGCAGGCACAGCTAGATGTAATAGTCTCTGCAGGTGAAAATACTGAAAATACTTGTCTGTGTACAAGCATGGCTTCAGGTGAGTCATTATCATTACAGCCTAGCAATTGTGAAATGAGACCTTTAATTCTCTCTGTATTTCTGTAGCATTTTACTGTATCTAAAATGTAATTTTGATTTCATCACCTATACACTGAAGTTATATGTTGATCAGTTATTTGACAGCATGCTGTATATGGGCTTTCAGTGCTTCTACTACCTTCATTTGTGCATTTTTAAGAAATTATGCTTAAAGTATAGAGCAGTAGTGCTGTTTTAACCTGTTTTTCAGCTGGGCGCTAGGTTTGTGTGTGTATGGTGAGTAAAGTGAGATTGCTTGTGCTCTGAATATTGTGCATATGTTCCCATTTTCTTTAAAGAGGAGAAAAAAAGGCCTCTTTTAAAAACTGAAAACACCCTATTAAGAAAACCAATAAACCCCAACTTGTTCTGTATTCCTCAAACGTTAATAACCATGTGCTATTTTTGACAAATTGAATTCAACATAATCTGAGCTGAGGAGCTCATCTGGCAAATGAAGGGGAAGAAAAATTAGGTGTGTTGTATGAGGTAGTGTGTCCTACCCGCAGAGGACACTCCCTCTGTTCTGTATTACATGGTCAGGTATGTGCAGGATAGGTCCTGTTCCAGAAGCTTCTGTGTAGCTCAGTTTTTACCTTGGAGTCAAAGTCCAGTTTGCATATTGGTGAAAATGTGATGCATTGAAGGGTTGGGGAGAAGTTGGCATTTTGGAACTTACCCTTTTTTGTTTCATGTTTTGAGATATTGAGTGTGCTGGCTTTTCTGAAGAATCTACAGATGCCACTTCTTCCTTCTTCAAAATCATTTTCTTTAATGGTAGCTTCCAGTGCCAATCTCTCCTGCTCCAGCTTCTCTAATTCTTCTGTATAATGGGACAAGTAAGGGAACTGGTTACACATCACTTCCTATTTTAAATTAAATCATTTAACTGAAATAATGATGGTGATGTAATTGCTGTTGTGGTACTTTGTACACAATATAAAGCTGCTGGGAGGAAAAACTCCTTTAAAATGCCTTTTCCTTGCAAACCAATAGGGAGGAAGGAGCTGAATTCGTCTCTGGAAGCCCTAATTTAGGGTGTCCATGCCTACAGCAGTGGTCTGTACTGAAGTGCTACTCTGATTTCCTCTTCCAGATTAAATTCAGTATTATTGTATTTTTTTAGTTACATGAGATACTATTTATTGAGTTATATTTGTGGATTTGGTTGGTTGGTTTCGTTTCCCAAGAATTTGAAAACACATTAGAAAAGCTGTTTTCCCAAAGTGAGAAAGCTGAGGTATTGAGGTCTAGCTCTTTAGTCCCTATTCTAAGAACAAGGTCACATGCCTTTGGACTTTGAGATTCTCAGAAATATGAAAGGGTCCTAAATATGCGATCAGTTTCTGTGCTGAAATATTTTTCATGTTTTAATTTTTTCAGCATTTGCTGCAAAGATGTAAGACTTAGCTAATCAACTCTGTAAATTCAGTAATACAAAAGAACAATTTCACCTTAGCAATATTAGACTTTTGCTGCAAAAAAAGGTACCACTTGTTATTGTGGAATATATTATGGTGGGGCACTAATGAATATGATCCAGGCATTGCCTGCAGTAAGCTTTTTTCATAACGAAAAGTTCTCTTTGACTAATACATGAAAGAAGAGTGAGGTAAGTTCATTTAAGATATTGTGTTTAAAAAAAAAACAAAACAACAACCCAAACCCTCACTAGCCAGTCATTATTGGCTCTGTTGGCACTCTGTTGCCAGCAGAAAATAATATGATTTCTTTTACTTTGGAATCCATGACAGCCATGTGCTTCTGATCATTAGACATGATGGTAGTCACTAAATTAATGGTTACTCAAAACTGAAATTTCAGTTTCTTTATTAAACAGAATGTTGTAGCAAGTATAAGGGGATACAATGAGCCATTTTTTCCACTACAGAGACTTTGTATCTGCTTCAAAACATTTCTGCATATTTGAGGGTTTTCCTTTCTTTTTTTTTTCTCCCCTGTGTTCTTTCTGATTCCTTGTGTCTTAATGCTGGTTTGTAAGAATGCAAAGTTGGTATTTGCTGTAATTTCACTGGTGTTCTAATGGCTCTATCTTCTGAGCAGTCAGTTTCTGACATCAAGCAAGGAGACAGACAGATCTCTTTCAGGTATCAGCAAAGGGGAGAAAAAAAAGCATTATTAGTTTGGAATTTTTTCTTAAATCACTGTAGTTTTACCCTGTAGCTCTCCATGCACATCAAGCTGCCACTCTGCTGGGTGAATATTTATCTACTCTTGTTTCTTAAATGAGTCTCTGGGGCCTTTTAATTCTGAGAGACGATTTGATATTGAGGGTTGCCTCATCCTGGAATCCGCCCTCTTTAATGGGGAGTTAATTTTGGTTTTAATTAGCTCAGGTGTTTATGTCCTTTCTGGGTGTTCTTCCCAGCCGTTCTGAGCGCAGTCCCTGTGTCTCTGGGAAACCGGAGAAGCTGGAGGCAGATTTACAGCAGGCGGCAGCAAAGAGTTGCCATTCTTTTTTATGCCTGCCTATGTTCCTTTATAGATTTTTATCTAATTCATTTATAACACAAAACATTTATCTCTTGGGGAGGACGAGGGACGCTAGGAGTAATGTTCAGGTTTAGTCTATGTCTGCTCAAGTGGACTAATTTACAAGAAGTGGGAAAATTATCATACTGAAAACTTAGAGAATTGTTCTGATGGGGTTTTTATGTGGAGTCATTCCCTCCCCAGGGTACCTGAGGAACCAGTAAGACCTCTGTGTCCTAAAGAGGAAAAGGAAAAATGAAGGCCACCATTGCATATGGCTCTTGGAAGCCCCTTGTTTAGGTGCAGCTGCCTGCATGCTCTGTGTCTCAGCCTTTTCCACCCAGATGGCACATCTTCCTGAATGGTTGTGGTATGGTGGGAGGTTTTCCCTTTCCCCCTGAGAAACGCACTGCTAATCTAAGGAAGAGTGAACAAAAAGGTGAAAAAGAGAATTGAGGTTTCTTGTGGGTTCCAGGTTTTTGCATGGGCAGGGACTTTCTGGGCCCAAGCATTCCACAGAGGTGGTACCAAAAGTGCATCTTTCTGATTCCCACCAGTCCCAGAGATCACAGGTGGGCAGAGGGACAGAGATGTGCCAAGAGCAGGAAGGAGACATGCTGCAGAGTGACTGGCTGCTGGGGCACAGCACGATTTTACTTCTTTAGTCTGCATCTGTGCTGGAAGTGCCGTGGGAGTAGAGTTCTCTGGTGTGTAGAGCCCCTTAATGTGTGAGGCTTGGCCTCCTTCTGTCACTGCCAGTGCTTCAGCAAGGATTTTGGTCAGGACAGAAACTGCAGAAGCAAGGAGTAGAAGTTATGGGTATAGGAACTATTCTAGAAACCAGACTGTGACTCCAAGAGTATCGCTCAGATTCCTTCTTGTGCTGAGCATGTAACCAGCATAGATATTCAACTATTGAGTCACCACATACCTTGAACCTGGAGGACCTGAGATATATCAAATCCTTGGCTAATTCTGACGATAATCATGCCGAGCTCAAAATCAAAAGCATCGCTGAAAAAAAAAAAAAAAAAAAA